TATGATCATTCCGACTGTTAGAAATGACAGCTTAAATTACATTAAATTGATATAAAAAGGCCTAATCTGGAAAAATCGTCGGTCATTTTTTTGGGTGGTCATCCCAGATTAAGTAGCGTTTCCATTAAAAACTGATGTTCAGTGTCCGGACTATACTTCATCGAATAATGTCTTATTTACACTGTTTTTTTGTCACACACGCCTTATTTAAACTACTTCCGTTATATTCTAGATAACTCGCTGCTGATGTTTTCTATTATCACATGAAATATTCTGTTTCATAAATAGAAGTTTTACATACATATCTACCAGCATACGTTACATCGAAAATAGATGTGGGATGAAAGGGTGCAAACAGACACAACAGTTATACTTCCTATGCATGAAAATACCATCAAATATGTTTTCCCATAAAGTTGTTTATTAATAAAAAAAACACGATGATTTAAAAAATATATTTTTTAACAAAAAACTCACTGCAGACGTTTTTAAACGTAAACAAACTGTCGTTTTGATATGTGTTGGGAAACATCATTGAAACTTTAATAAACGTTTTAGAAAGTATCTAATAATGTTTTTAAGATACTTTTTTTTTTATTCTGTAAGAAAACAGGGGAAGTAGAGCTGTAGGAACAGTTTACAAGCCGTTCTATTTCATCTGGGTCTCCTTGTTTTTTTCATTATTTATAGTTTTTAATGAGAATAATGCCATAAGGACTTGAACTGTTATTAATTTTTTGTCGAGTTCTATTGTTTAATTTTTCATCGAATTGAATTGAAACTTATTTTTGTACAGTCAAATCAAAGTTTCAGAGGGATTTTCAGAATTTTCTTGAATCTTCGATTAATCAGCTCGTGACATTTAACTCAAGTTTTACAGAACCATAAAAGATATTATTCCTAATGAATAAGTGTTGGTCCTGATCTTATCTACTTCTACCTTGATGATTAGTTCATAATTGATTTTATGTTGAAAAAACCTAAGATAGCAAATGAATTATAAATGTTTTTCTCTTTTGAAAGGATGTTAATTGTAATGCCATATGTGACAAAGAATATTCTCCACAAACAGCAGCAGCAATGAGTCAATTAAGTGAAAAATCACTTTCATTTGAACTAATTGAAGTAAGAAAATAAATTTAATAAAAAAAAAGGAAAACAAAACGAAATAATTAATTTTTAAGGCATTAATAAGTTATATCTGTAGTTTGGGTGATGATGGAGCTATATTAATATTTTTACCTGGATGGAATTTAATTCAAGCATTACTTAAATATTTTCAACAACATCCAAGATTTAGTAAATTATTTGTTTGTTTGTCTATTTTTTTTTTGTTTCATTAAATATATAACAATGGCCATAGGTAGAAAA